GGCATGTTTGAATTGCTTATGAATTTACGCAAGCATACAAAGACTTTTTTTATAAAACCTAATATTTCACGAGACCATATGTTTGCTCGAGACAACCTGGTTTAGTCATGTAGCCCGATGACATCAAAACATGCAAAAAATCTCTCATAATCAATAGTAGTGAGCTCTGAAAAAGGATCTCTTAGCGGTTACACCACTACGATAGGCGTGAAAGGTCTGTTCCACCCCAGAGGTTTTTTCATTGTAAAGTTCTCATTCAGTTAGCGAAACGTTGACGATTACACTGGGGCCTGTATAAAAGTGCAACACTAAGGAATTGGCACTGGTAGCGTACGACATGGACGAGAAGCAAAAGCTACTGTATGCTGAGAATCTAAAGCGATTCGTATTTTTTGGTGTTGCTGTCTCCACTGTTGCCACATTCACTGCAATCGTTGCTGTACCTTTGCTATGCCTTTACCTACAAAATGTACACTCTAGCGTTCAAGAAGAGATACTTTACTGCCGCACAAAATCTAGTGGATTACGAGGAGAATATGTTCGGGTAATTTTCATTCTTATTCTTGATACACTTTAAACTTATTAAAAAAATGCCTCGAATCTGATGAACTCTCATATAACGTATGTATTTATTTTAGACTGAAAGTCAGCACCAAAGCAGAGCAAAACGTCAAGAGCCTAGTCAGTGTTGTTCATGCGGAGTTGGACCCGTAGGACCTGCAGGACCCCCAGGGCCAGATGGTGAACCTGGTATAGACGGACATCCGGGAAGACCTGGAGCTCCAGGAGCAGATGCTTCTGATCATCTCGCAATACCCAAACCCAGCGATTTTTGCTTTGAATGTCAGCCCTCACCAGCTGGTCCACCTGGCTTGACTGGACCAATGGGTCCCATAGGACCACCAGGACCACCAGGAGAGGTGATTTCTTTCTACAATCTCTTTTCATCATCACGTCAATGATTTTATTGCAGCAAGGTCCAATGGGAAGTCAAGGACCTCGCGGTAACAATGGCCCTCCAGGACCACCCGGAAAAGATGGCGAGCCTGGTGAAGTTGGACCGCCCGGAATAGCTGGTACTGTGCGAACTTTACCCTCCCCAGCCGGCCCACCTGGAGAGCAAGGTGAAATGGGACCTGCTGGTCCTCCTGGTCCAGACGGCCCTCCTGGACGTGATGGACATCCCGGTGCTGCTGGACCACAAGGCGATAATGGAGTGGATGGCCCCAATGGAAAAGACGGTGAGAATGGCCCTCCTGGTCCGCCTGGAAAAGATGGTAGCAAAGGATCATGTGATCATTGTCCAGTACCTCGTACTCCTCCCGGTTACTAAGTCAGTTTACATTTACATATCTCTTCTAAT